GGAACCGACGCGATTTGGAGCTCTTCGAAAAGAGTGCAGCAGTGCTCTCGGGATGGGGGGCGCCTCGTTGACGATCGAGCGATTTGTGGCAGTCTAATATTTGCGCATCTTCGGCTTCGGGGCCAGTTTCTTCCCCTTCATCTTCTCTCGCTTAGGCCTGGTCGCGCGTGCCTCGTCGCGCTCCACGGTCAGCGCGGCGGCGTGCAAATGCGCGATGTGCACGTTGATCCTGGGGCCTCTATCATGCAGCAGAGAGGTGAACTTCGGGCGATCCGCAATCATCTTCTCAGGGCTGACGTCGGCGCCGTCTTTGCCGCGGCGATGTCAACGTTCCCGCCGAGGGCAGAGGCTCTTACTCTGCTGATGGGGGAGTCCGCTCCGGCAGTTCCAACCGCGATGCTTACTTGAATTCGATATTTCCCGACCTGTGCGAGGTTGGCCAACACCACTTCATCCGTCGCGCGATGGATGCAAGCGGCCCCGGGCCCAACATCGCGTCGCGCGCTCGCCTGGACAGACTGCGCGGCTACGTCCCAAGCAGCGCTCTCTTCGATTTCAAGCGGAACAGTCCGCTGCTTTCGGCGGCGCACGGGGAGTGGGCCATGTCTGGCCGTGCGCTTGTGGCCTTGCGATTGCGGATTTCGCGGCCCGGTGGCATTCGCATTCCGTCTTGGGCCCCCAAGCGGGCTCAGCGCCGCCCCTTCTTAGAGGACCTTCTGGAAAGAGGTGGCCCACGCGACCCCGGTCCTGTCTTCGCCCGGGAAGAGACGAAATGTGCCATCAGGGAGGCTGCGACGCATGTCATTCGCGATCTGGTGGCCCATTATCCGTGGAGGAGAAGGTCCATTGGGCTCGCGCAGCTCTTCCGCGCGATCGGCGAGGGCGGCTTGTTTTTTCTGCGCTGTGCTTCGAGTGCGCTCGCTGACATTCGGAACTTTATCTGCGGGGGGCTTTGTACTTGGGTGGATATCCAGGGATTCCCCGAGGCGTCTCATGACCGAGCAGATACGCAGAGATATGCAAGATAACGAGGAGCCCAATCGCCCCGCTGTTCAAAAACAAGCTGCCCGGAACAAGCTAGCATCCCATGTGTGCGCCTTGGGCCAAAGGAGGAGGAATATTTCGCTCTCTGGCATTTCTGACCCCGCGGGTCAACAAGTTTCCGAGACGCGTGCAGTGGCCTTGTTGCTTGCAGAGCACTGGGGACAGGCGCGCGCTCTGGCCGTCGGCCAGCGCTCGCGTCGGCGGGAGCTCCTGCCCATCATCTCGCAGGTGCCCTCCCCGACGTTTTGGGAGTTGGAATTCGAAGAGTTTTGCCGGTCCGCCAAGTGCGCCAGAGACTCGCGTCCAGGGCCCGACGGCATTCCGTGCTGCGCGCGGTCTCGGGGCGGCGCCTGCACGATGGAACCTCTCCTGGGAGTGCGTCAAGTTCTTCTGGCGCGTGGTCAGCGTCAAGCCAAATATAACCACGGCGTGGCGATCTTTCTGCCCGAGGGCGAGAGCCCCGCAGACACCTTCAATGCGGTCTTCCGATCGCCCGAGCAGACCGGGCCGATCGCGCTAAGCAGCTCTGACAACGAGCTGATCAGCCGGGTTGTCAACCGACCGTTCGCGCGTGTCCTTCAGGAATGTTGCGTAGGTCTCCAGAGGGTTTCATCCTTGGGACGAACTTTACGAACCGAGTTGTTGCTTTTGGGTCCCAGGCCGTTGAGCGGTTCATCCAGGACGGGATCCAAACTACAGGATGCGCGACCTTCGATATCAAGGCCGGCTCCCCCACCTCCTCCGCTTCATGATCGCGTTCATTTTGGAAGCTTCGAAGTTCCCCAAGGCAGTTCGCAGGGCTGGTACCGCGCACTATACCGACGTCTGGTCATCCGTTTCCTTCTGCGGGCCTCGGGAGGCTGGAGTGTGGGCGAAGCGGGGGATCGCGCGAGGGTGACCTTTCTCCTCTTCGCTCGTATGTGCATTGGCTCCATCCTGCGGATGCTGGGCTCGAGACTTGCCCGTGCCTCAGCAGTGCTTGGCGGGCGTGCCGACGACGTCGGGCTTTTTGCGCAAGACGTGCACCTTTCCTTCGCTCGTGCTTCTCCTGAGCGCGAATGTGCAGCCCTCGCTGCAGGCCAACGAATCGAAAGTTGTTATCGCTCCGCTCGCCGATCTGTCTCAATATGGATACGACCGCCTGCTGCGTGACGCTGGTCTCCCCTCTTCCTCTCGCGCCCCGCAAAACGCCCTTGGGGTCCATCTCGGCCGTGACCCAAAGAACCCCATCTCGGCTGTGACCCAAAGAACCGTTCCTGGATCGCCCCCGCCCGCGAGCGCCCTTTCTCGGAGTCGCGACGTCGGAGCCCGGGGCCTCGGCCTCGTCAAAGGCATCGCCCTGTTCGAACAGCAAGCGCTCAGCTGTCTTCCGCGCGTCTCCCAGTTCTCCCCCCCTCCAGAAGCTCGCGCGCGGCCCCGTCGCTGCGCCGGGGCAGGCCGCGGCCGGCGGTATCGAGGAACGCGATCGGCGCCGTTGTGCTCGAGAAGCTGCCCTCGGTGGGATGGCCCTGCCAGGTCCGGAGGCTGTGCCTGACCTCTCGGGCGGCCCTTCGCAGATCTGCCTGCCGCTCGACCGAGCTCTTCCGAGCGAAGGCGAGGGTCCAGGCGCCGGCCACCGGCGACGGGTGCAACCTTCCGTGGGGGCACGACCCGCCGGGGCGCCAGAGCTCGAGTTGCGTTCTGCGCTCCAGTATCGAACAGCTACAGTCGGGGCCCTGAAGAAGGAACCCTTTTGGTTGGGGAGGGGCTCCGCGTTCCTTAAGTGTTTCACAGCTTGCCTCCGGTTTTCCTTCTGTCTTCGATCGGAAATCGAAGGTTCACTTATGGAGAAAAGGAGCCCCGTTCCTTATTTTGGGTTCCTTAGGTCAACGCCCCGACTGTATGTGCCGTGCCCCGTGCCCCGACAGCTGGTACCCCGAGGGTTCAGGCCGCTGCCGAGAGATGGCTTCGCAGCGCCGCTCCTGAAGGGTATTGCGTTCCGCTTCTGTATCGTCTTGAGGAACTGGGGGTAGCTTCGAGGTGTTGTGATCTTGATCTAGCTCTGATGGCTCTGAGGAGGTTAGCAAACTTAGTTCCTGCCTGTGTAGTTGTCTCTGTTTTGAAAACCTCCTCGAACGGCTGGTGCTGTTCTGCCCGTCTTCGCGGTCGCACGGTTCCGCGCGTGTTCTGTGGTGTGCTTGGGGCCGATCATTTTCTGCGCTATATTAGTTGCCCGCATGGTGTTGACAGCGTCCAGCCTTCTATCTCCATTCCTCCGTCGTTCCTCTCGCTTTCTGGCCCCGAAAAGGCGTCCATTTTCCTTTGGGCCGCCTCTGCGCAAAACGAACTGGTGTTGTGTTCCTTTTCGTAGATCCAGCCTTTCAGTTTTACCACGATCTGCGCCTCGCGCCATCACTTCAGCCTCCGAGTGGGGTTCGTCGGCTGGAAGCTCGCGTGCGTGCCCGTCTCAAGCAGGTCAAGAGGCGCAGTGCTCGCCTTGCTCCGATCGTCAGGTAGATCGGCGCGCAGGACGGGGACATTCTCTCTCTCTCTCTCTCTTCGCTGCTGTTGTTGCTGGCGCGCCTCCCCCCCTTGGCGCATGCTCTCCCTCCTCCTCCTCCTCCTCCTCCTCCTCCTCCTCCTCCTCCTCCTCCTCCTCTCCTCCCTCCCTCCCCCCCCTCCCTCCCCCCTCCCCCTCCCTCCCTTCTCCCTCCTCCTTCCTCTCTCCTCCCTGGTCCCTCCTCCTCCTCCTCCTCCTTCTCCTCCTCCTCCTCCTTTTGCTTCTCCTCCTCCTCCTCCTCCTCCTCCTCCTTGGGGCGCGATTTGCTTTGCCCATTCGGGGCCAGCAACATCGCCTGTTGGCGCCCTCTTCTAGCCCCCTTGGACCGCTCTTAGGCGCTCTTGGGGCCGCCTGTGGGGCCACCTGGGTCCCTTTTGGGGCCCCTCTTGGGCGATCCTGGGGCCATCTTGGCGCCTCAAAAGCGGATCGGAAGCATGCAGGCGAGACGTAACGCACCGTTGATTTTCCTTTCTGGTTGTTGAAGGGTTTTGGCCTCTTGGGGGATTGGGGGGTTCACAGGGGGTTCCGAGAGCACTGGGAACCGTCTTGTGGCCTTCGCCAAGCCTCTTGAAGATACGTCGGAAGCTATTGTGAACCATCGTCGCCTATCTTGAGCACTCTTGGAAACCGTCTTGGAGCATCGGAGGCCCTCTTGGTTCCATCTTGGTCGAATAGGGACCCTCTGCCACACCGCCGCCCGCCCCGAAAAAAAAACACGGAGGGGAGGGGGAGTGTACCCCTCCCCGAAAGGAGAGGGGGTTTGGGAAGAGGATAGAAAGATATCCGGGCCTCTTGGAGAGATGTCTGAAGCTATCTTAAACTATCGCCGGCTATCTTGCGCCATCTTGGAGACCATCTAAGAGCACCGGGGGCCCTCTTGAAGCCATCTTGCCCCTCTGCCACATCGCGGCCGGCCCGACAAAATTCCATGCAACGGAGGGGCAATGTACCCCTCCCCGACGGGAAGAGGTTTCACACGAGGAAGAAATATATCGCTATACCACCTTAGCCCAAATGGCTGGTGGGACTCCACCTGGCTCAGACCACACAGCCCACACCACATAGCTTGCACCACATAGCTTGCACCACATAGCTTACATCACCTAGCTTACATCACCTAGCTCGGACCGCTCAACCCACAGAGCTCACACAGCATACATATATATATATATACACATATTAAACAGCATATCTCACAAAACATCGCTTCCACCACATAGCTCACACCGCGCAGCCTACACAGCATGATATCCACCTCCACGGTGCAGCAGCTTCCTGTTCGGGGCCCATGCTGGCCAACATGTCGAGACGCGAGGAGGTGGGGGTCATCCTCCTCGCTCACTCTCTCCCTCGCTCAGCCCATCCTCCTCCCCCCAGCTCGCCCTCTTCGCTCCCTCCGCCCGCCCTCCTCCCGCAGCTGCTCTTGGCGCCCAGCAAGAGCCCCGGCGTGCTCTCCTTCTTCTCCCAAAGAGTGGCGGTGAGGAACCCTGGCGCAAGGCGCGCCCCAGCCCTCGTCGTCGTTGTCGTCGTCGTCGTCGTCGTCGCCGTCGCCGTCGCCGTCGCCGTCGCCGTCGCCGTCGCCGTCGCCGCCCGCCGCCGCCGCCGTCGCCGCCGTCGTCGTCGTCGTCGTCGTCGTCGTCGTCGTCGTCGTCGTCGTCGGCGTCGTTGGCGTCGTTGGCGTCGTCGTCTCGTCTCGCCGATTACAAGATGTGTGCTTACGCCAGGGTGTGGTTTGCAATCTGCGCCTTTGGGGCTTGGGGTGCGCCGCGTTGCGCCAGTGGCTGAATAAGCTCTCGTCGGGGTGCGGCGGAGAACTCTGTCGAGGTCCTCTCCCGCCCCCTTCCCCGCCCAGGTAGTGAATTGCGGGTTGTCGCCGATCGTCGTTGCCGTCGTCGTCGCGCCCAGATCTCCGACATCCGATTTGTTCAGTCCGGCGCTGTTCCTCGAGTTCGGACTCGGGGGCCCGTCCTCGGGCCCCAGGGCCGCCAACAGAGTATCTGGGGCAAAAAAAATTACACTTCTGGGGCCACCCGTTGAAGAAAAAACACCTTGTCGGAGGTCTGGGGGTGGGGGCGGAGGTTTCGTTGGCTCCGTGCAGCGGCACACGACTGCTGGGCGGACGGGGGGCTTGCAGGAGGGCGGGCGGTGGAGTGATGCGGTCGAGCATCTGATTAATCAGAGTGAGGGGGCCGAACGGTCATTCATTGTCCCTGGGTGCGTGGCTGAATTGCGAATCCGTGGTGAGGATTCTGCTTGCTGTTGCTGTTGTTGTTGTTGTCGTTGTTGTTGTTGTTGTTGTTGAACATTATTTCTTCTTAAGAATAATTATTGTTGGGACCCCTGGTGCACGGCCCCCCCGCCGCGCCTAGGCCGCAGCTACATTTTCATCATTTTCGTGAGGAAGTCTCAGGCAAAACGATTGTGTCCGGATCCGGTTGTTTTGTTCCCCCCCGCTTTCCCTTGTAAAAAATACTATAAAATGAAAATTCTTGTTTTTACTTGATCAAATTGCAAGAATCCCTTGCAAAAAATAAGGTAAAGTGGACATTCGTGCGCGCAAGACGAAATCCTTCCAAAACCTTAGGTTTCGTAACGATTTTAACATAAAAACATCAAAAACCCAATGGTTTTCTCAGAAAAAATTGTCAAAATGTCCTTCCGCGCGCTCTTGCGGATTCCTAGGAAACCCACCAGATTTTAAACATTTCTGTTAAAAGGGCCTTTGCGAGGAACCTTTTCAGGTGCTTCGACCTTCTGCAACAACGGTTGCGAGCCTACGAGGGCCACCATCCCTTGCAAAAAATGACACGAAGTGCATAGCGTTGCGGAATCTCTTCCTATCTCTCTCTCCACTGGCTCTCTGTCTTGCTCTCTCTCTCTCTCTCTCTCTGTCTCTCTGTACTATGTATGTCATACGCAACAAATGCACCATGCGGGGCACATGCGGGGCCCAAACAAGTGATCAACCTCTGCGGGTGTGTACTCCACGCCAGTGTAGTATCCACGATCGTCCGCGCGCCACGAAGTGAAGTGTCCTGACGTCATAGGGCGGGAAGCTGGGTGTGGGTGGTTCCCGAGAGTCGTGTGGATGTTTGGTAGAGCTTGCATTGCCCCCCCACGAAGTGGGGGTATTGGCTGGCGTCGCATGAAAACCCTGGCACTGGGGAGAACACTGAGCGTTCGGGTAAAATGATTGTTGTTGTTGTTGTTGTTGTTGTTGTTGTTGTTGTTGAACATTATTAATTCTAAAGAATAATTATTGTTGGGACCCCTGGTGCACGGCCCCCCTGCGCCGCCTAGGCCGCAGCTACATTTTCATCATTTTCGTGAGGAAGCCTCAGGTAATTCGATGTGATCAAGATCCGGTTGTTTTGTTCCCCCCCGCTTTCCCTTGCAAAAAACACTATAAAATGACATTTCTTGTTCTAATATAATCAAATTTCAAGAATCCCTTGCAAAAAATAAGGTAAAGTGGACATTCGCGCGCGCAAGACGAAATCCTTCCAAAAGCTTAGTGTTCGGAGCGATTTTAACATAAAAACATCAAAAAACCAATGGTTTTTCAACAAAAAAATGTCAAAATCTCATCCCGCGCGCTCTTGCGGATTCGTAGGAAACCCAACACTTTTTAAACATTTCTGTCAAACGGGCTTTTGCGAGCAACTTTTTCGAACTTCTGCGACAACGGTTGCGCACCTGCCAGGGCCATCATCCCTGTCAAATAATACCATGCGGGACACATTCGTTTTTTCTTCGCGCGCGCACGCCGAAATCTCCAAAAACCATTGGGTTCTTAAGAATTTTAGCACCGCGCATCATGTGTATCATGTACCATATGCATCATATGCAACAGATGTTCTGTGGAAGGCTTAACAACTTCTGTGGGTTAACAAGGCTTAACAACTTCTGTGGGTGTACGAACGTAGGCTTAACAACTTCTGTGGGTGTGTACTCCACGCCAGTGTAGTAGCCACGGTCGTCCGCAGGCCACGAAGTGAAGTGTCCGAACGTCATAGGGCGGGAAGCTGGGTGTGGGTGGTGGCGAAGAGTCGTGTGGATATTTGGTAGAGCTTGCACTGCCCCCCCACAAAGTGGGGGTATTGGCTGGCGTCGCATGAAAACCCTGGCACTGGTGAGAACACTGAGCGTTCGGGTAAAGTGATTGTTGTTGAACATTATTACTTCTAAAGAATAATTATTGTTGGGACCCCTGGTGCGCGACCCCCCTCCAAAACCTAGGCCGCAGCTACATTTTCATCATTTTTTCGCGAAAGCTTCAGAAAAGTGGATTATGTCCGGATCCGGTTTTTTGTTACGTTGCGTTTTCCCTTGCAAAAAACACTATAAAATGAAAATTCTTGTTCTTACCTGATCAAATTTCAAGAATCCCTTACAAAAAATGAGGTAAAGTGGACATTCGCGCGCGCAAGACGAAATCCTTCCAAAACCTTAGGTTTCGTAGCGATTTTAACATAAAAACATCAAAAACCCAATGGTTTTTTAAGAAAAAAATGTCAAAATGTTCTTCCGCGCGCTCTTGCGGATTCGTAGGAAAACCAACACTTTTTAAACAATTCTGTCAAACGGGCTTTTGCGAGCAACTTTTTCGAACTTCTGCGACAACGGTTGCGCACCTGCCAGGGCCATCATCCCTGTCAAATAATACCATGCGGGACACATTCGTTTTTTCTTCGCGCGCGCACGCCGAAATCTCCAAAAACCATTGGGTTTTTAAGAATTTTAGCACCGCGCATCATAAAATCACACGAATCGCACCGTAGGTCCTCGAAAAACACCTGCACGACTTTTCAAAATTTCCACCCGCGCGCGCTGTCCTCTGTCTCTCTCTCTGTCTTTGTACTATGTATGTCATGCGCAACAAATGCACGATGCGGGGCACATGCGGGGCCCAAACAAGTGATCAACCTCTGCGGGTGTGTACTCCACGCCAGTGTAGTATCCACGATCGTCCGCGCGCCACGAAGTGAAGTGTCCTGACGTCATAGGGCGGGAAGCTGGGTGTGGGTGGTTCCCGAGAGTCGTGTGGATGTTTGGTAGAGCTTGCATTGCCCCCCCACGAAGTGGGGGTATTGGCTGGCGTCGCATGAAAACCCTGGCACTGGGGAGAACACTGAGCGTTCGGGTAAAATGATTGTTGTTGTTGTTGTTGTTGTTGTTGTTGTTGTTGTTGTTGTTGTTGTCGTTGTCGTTGTTGTCGTTGTCGTTATTGTTGTTGTTGTTGTTGTTGTTGTTGTTGTTGTTGTCGTCGTCGTCGTCGTCGTCGTCGTCGTCGTCGTCGTCGTCGTCGTCGTCGTCGTCGTCGTCGTCGTCGTCGTCGTCGTCGTCGTCGTCGTCGTCGTCGTCGTCGTCGTCGTCGTCGTCGTCGTCGTCGTCGTCGTCGTCGTCGTCGTCGTCGTCCCCCCCGCGACCCGGCCCGCGACCCACCCGCGACCCACCTCGCGACCCACCCGCGACCCACCCCGCGACCCAACCGCGACCCACCCGCGACCCGTTCGCGACCCACCCGCGACCCACCCGCGACCCACCCGCAACCCACCCGCGACTCGGCCCGCGACCCACCCGCGACCCACCGTCGACCCACCCGCGACCCACCTGCGACCCAACCCGCGACCCAGTCGGGCGTGGACCCGTCCAATGGTGCTCACTTCGGCAGGAGCTATCCCGTCTCTCATCTCCTGGCTGTGCCGCCGCCGCTGCCTAACTTTTCGCAGCCGCCGTGAGCACTGCAGGAGATAACTCGTGTCATCCTTTTTCCTCTTCTTTTACGGGCTTGTTGCTGCACCTTGTCTCTGTATAGGCGGTAACTTGTTCTCTTCGCAGAAGGTCGCACGAGGAGGAGGAGGAGGAGGAGGAGGAGGAGGCGGAGGCGGAGGAGGAGGAGCAGGAGGAGGAGGAGGAGCAGGATGAGGAGGAGGAGGAGGCTGCGTGTCATAGCGTCACCACCAAGGGGCAAACCCCGAGGTGGTGGTCCGAGGCCCAGTCTTGCGGCCGAAGGCGTCCACGTCGCCGAACGTGTCGACGCATGCGGGCGAAAGGGCGGGGGCGACCAACGACGCCGCCGCCGCGAGCCCCCGTGCGCCACAGGGGCAGCACGGGGGGAGAAGGGGAAGGGGAAGCACGGCTACCCAGGCGGCCCGCAACTCCAACCCGCCACCACACCCACGGCAACGCAAAGCCACGCTCGCGCCTGCCAGGGGAGAGGCGACACTAATTAGTAAGAATCGTCCGACAGACCCTTCGATGGGGATAGTGCGAGGGACAAGGGCACCCTCGCACTCGGACCTGCCAGAATGGCCAGGAGAGGGGGGAGACCCCAACGGGGCCGCAGCGGCTCGAGGCGGAAGCACCATTCTCTTCGCGCAGCTCGGCCACCGCGCATTGTTCCCCCGCTCTGGAGCCCTCCCCCCCTCTCCGAACAGGGCACCCCAGTGCTGGGGTCAGCACAGGCGGACACAGGCACCCCATCGCGAGACTCG